GTCATTTTTTAAGAGATGCATGCTGAGATAGTTAGGCATGCTATAGCATGGTATTTCAATTTCATTTAAAATACTTCAGCAATATACTAGTTTCTCTTTTTGTGTATATGTTTAAGGAAAAACTCAAACTTTGTATGTTAATTTTTTTAAGCTATCACTGCAAGATAATGACTTTCTTAGGCAGGCTTGCTGCACTGATTATCATGTCGAATCATTAATGTAAACTGTTTGTATTTGCTTTTCTTTAGTTTTATGAAAGAGTTTGTAAGGTGCCAATACTTCAGTTCTTGGTTACAAAGTATGTTTTGAGTGGTTGGATGTTAATCCTGGGTCTGCTCACTTGAACTCTGTATCTGCAATGACAGAAAATACTAGACAAACCCAAATCGAAGGTTATTTTAAAAAATAGCTGGCCAGTATTCTTCAAAATTTTCAAGTTCATGAAAGACAAAAGATTGCAGATCTGTCTAGATTAAAGGGAGACATGACAATTAAATGCAATGTGTAACCCTGGACTGAATCCTAGCCCAGAAATGGGATATTAGTGGGACAGTTAATGAAATTTGAATAAGGTCTGCAGATTAGTTAATACTATGTCAATTTTCTGGTTTTGATTATTATATTGTACTTATATAAGATATTAACACTTGAGGAAATTGGGTGAAGAAAATTCTACGTAATATTTTTGCAATTTTTTTATAAGCCTGGAATGATTTCAAAATGAAGAGAAAAAATAGCACTTGTCCATTCAAATAATTATTGTCCTCCAAAGTACTATGTCTGACAGATTAGATATTTATTATAACATTGTGTCAAACAGTTTTTCATTTCTTTTGGAGGTGACTTCAGTATCAATTTAATACGACACAAGAAAAGCAGTCTTTTGCTGCAATATTATTTTTAAAAACTCCATTGTGGAAAATTTCAGACAAATAAATTCGAGAAAATAATGTAATGAACCTTCATGAAACTCAATGTCCAATTTTAACAATTAACATCCCCCTGTATTTGTTTATTTATCTATCCATTCATTCCTTTTTTTTTCTGGAGTATTTTAAAGCAAATCTCAGATTATCATGTCATTTCATTGTTACCATAAATGAAATTTTTTCTTTAAACATATCCACCACTCCATTATCACACCTAATAAAATTAACAATTCCTGAATATCATTCAGGATATATGATATAAGGGATATCACTCCATATTAAAATTTTACCAATTGTCTCAAAACAATTGCTTTGTTTGAATCATGATCTAAATGAGGTACATAGCTATGTCTCTTAAAACTTTTTCTGTCTATAATAGTTCACCTACTCTCCCCTCCCCCTGTTTGTGAATTTATTTAATCTGCTATGAAAATTAGGTTATTTGTTTTGTGGAAGCTTATTACTTCCTCTTGGTGTTTTGTTTCAACTTATTCATCTATTCCCTGTATTTCCTGTAAACTGTGATTAGATCTAAGCCTTGATTAGATTTTAGTTTAATTTGGAGGGATCAAGCAAACTTCATAGGAAATGCTATGTATTTTCCATTGCATCACATCATGAGATTATATCATGTCTGGAGTCCCACTTTTAATGATGCTAAAATTGATTGGGAGGTTCAAAGGGTATCATCCTCATTATAAAAAAGTTCGACATCTTTTTGAAAAGTCATGTGTTTAGCTCAATCAATAGCACAGTCAAACACAGAAATCTTGCCCAGGGGTAGCAATCTTCATAATAATATTGAATTAACTTTCCTAACATAGTACTGCATTGAAGGTTCTTGTGAACCATTTTATCACAAGGTACTGTGGGAAAAAAAGTTAAAGAGGAAACTAATTTTAAAATTGCATTGTACAAGTCAAGCTCAAAATCACATCAGAAATTATTACCATGATTGGGAGTCAAGTGGGCAGATTTTGGAAGGTCTTGGCTACAAATCTGTAAGGAAATATGTAAGTTAAAAAGACTAGTAGGAAGCTAAGCATTATTAAAAAAATAAAATTGACACAGTTGTCTGGGAAGAGGGACTGGAGGTAGGGAGGGATGAGGCAAGGAATTGTGACTTTTCATTACAGGGTCTTCTATGTATGTACTAGTCCTAGGATAGTGCACAGGTTAACAAGCTTAGCTGTTAACTGAAAGATTGGAGGGACAAGCCCACCCAGAGATGCCTCAAAGAAAGGCCTGGAACCACAGCCTCCACCAGCCTGAGCCCAGAAGAACTAGATGATGCCCAGCTACCACCACTGACCGCTCTGACAGGGGTCACAATAGATGGTCCCAGACAGAGGGGGAGAAAAATGTAGAACAAAATTCAAATTCACAAAAAAAGACCAGACTTAGTGGTCTGGAGGAACCCCTGAGACTATAGCCCCTGGACACACCGCTAACTCAGAACTGAAGCCACTCCTGAAGTCCACCTTTAGCCAAAGATTAGACAGGCCTATGAAACAAACCATAACACACGTAAGGAATTGCCTCTTAGTTCAGTGAAGTATGCAAGACCACATGGGCAACACCTGCCCAAAAGCAAAGACAAGACAGCAGGAAGAGATAGGAAAACTGGATGAATGAACACTGAGAACCCAGGGTGGAAAGGGGAAGGGGGAGAGTGCTGACACATTGCCAGGATTGCAACTAATATCATAAAACAATTTGTGCATAAAATTTTTGAATGAAAAACTAATTTACACTGTAAACTTTCACCTAAAACACAATAAAATTTTAAAATAATAATAATTTTTTAAAAAGGAAAAACCTGGCTACTGGCTATCCACTTCTGGAAAACGGCCATTGAAAAACCTAATGGAACACGGTTCTACTCTGACACACTTAGGGTAGCCAAAAGTCGCAGTAGACTCCATGGCAACTGGTTTGGTTTTGGATGCATGAAATGTTACCGCGTGGAAGCCCCAGGTTCTTGCTTGGCATGACTCGTATTGGCCAATAAACAAGAGACCTAGGTGGGAGAACAGGAAAGGCACCTTAATTTCTTTCGTTGTAGAAGGAAAAGAGTTGGAGCTGCTGCTGCCAAGACTGCTCCCCAGGGGTGGGCAGGCAAGCTACTTTTAAAGGGGTTTACAAGTAGGGAGTTCATACAAGTTACAACAGCAACATGTTCTTAATCATAATATGCAGGTGCAGTAGGTTTTACATATAACCTCCAAGCAAAAGCAGGATTCAACTGCAAAGTTGGGGGGAGGGAGAAGACCAGCAAAGGAAACAGGATTTTTCAATACAACATCATGGGGGAGGAAGCCACGCAAAGAAAACATGATTTTTAATACAGCACTGTGGGGGCTGTCTCACTCCTTCCGTTTCTTTTTGGACATTGGTCATTCAAGACCAGTGTCCATTTTAAACTATAGCCAGGCTTGGAATTACTTGGCATATTTTGGGGGAGGGGCAAATATTGGACCTAGGCCTTTCACTGTGGCTACTGACTTCTTGTTTATAACTATTTACTAAATATTAAAAGAAAGAGAGTGGCTTTTATGCCGTGTTTATGTGAATGTCTCTGCCATGGATTGAATTGTGTCCCCAAAAAATATCTGTCAACTTGGCTAAATCGTGATTCCCGGTATTGTATGATTGTGTACCATTTTGTAATCTGACGTAATTTCCTCATGTGTTGTAAACTCTATCGCTATGATATGAGATGGAGTAGTGGCGGTTATATTGATGAGGTCTACAAGATTAGGTAGTGTCTTAAGCCAATCTCTTTTGAGATATAAAAGAAAGAAGCGAGCAGAGAGACATGGGGACCTTATACCACCAAGAAAGCAGTGCTGGGAGCAGAGTGTGTCCTTTGGACTTGAGGTTCCTGCACTGAGATGCTCCCAGAACAAGAGAAGACTGATGACACGGAACTTCCTCTGGAGCCAACAGAGAGAAAAGGCCTTTCCCTGGAGCTGATGCCCTGAATTTGGACTTGTAGCCTAATAGACTGTGAGAGGATAAACTTCTCTTTGTTAAAGCCATCCACTTGTATTTCTGTTACAGCAGCACTTGATGACTAAGACAGTCTCCCAAAAAGATTCTCTTTCTTTTTTTTTTCAGATTGTCTTAGCTATTGACTTTATACCTCAGGGCCCAGCTGATGTGTCTTTATGAGTCTTTGTGAGTCCAGCTACAGCTGGGTCACAGCATTACTTCCTTAGCATGTTGTTGTTAGGTGCCACCGAGTTGGTTCCGACTCCTAGCGACCCTACCTATAACAAAACGACATGTTTATCAGTCCTGTGCTATCCTCATAATAGTAGGTACGTTTGAGCCCACTGTTGAAGCCACTGTCAATCTGCCTCCTTGAGGGTCTTCATCTTTTTGGCTTTCTACCAAGCATGATGTCCTTCTCCAGGAATTGGTCCCTCCTGATAAGATGACCTTGGAAACCCTGGTGGCGTAGTAGTTAAGACTACAGCTGCTAACCAAAAGGTCGGCAGTTCGAATCCACCAGGTGCTCCTGTCCTATAGAGTCACTACAAGTTGGAATCAACTCAACTGCAGCGGGTTTTGTTTTGTTTTGATAACATGACCAAAGTAAGCAAAATGAAGTCTCGCCATCCTTGCTTCTAAACAGCATTCTGGCTGTACTTCTTCCAAGGCAGATTTGTTCCTTCTTTTGGCAGTTAACATTACAAAAGGCAAATGTTGGTGAAAAACAAAGATTACTGAAAACATCCAAATATAAAATCCTATTAATTATACATAAGCTCCCAGTTTTTTCTGTTCCCTTACATCAGAATCCACTTGCAAAATGTTTAAAGGGGCCAAGGTCAGTAACAGCTCATCTGGTGACTAAAAAAATATTGAAAGAGGCTGACGCGTTACAAACGCCTTAGAGGTTTTGGAGGTCAGCGTTGGGCATGCGGTGTCATCGGGCCAGTCTCAGAACACACAGCTATTGTCGCGCGCTAAGCCAGAACCCACACAAAGCCTCACGGGAGGCGGGGCCTCATGACGTCACAGAGACGGCCGCCCCTTCCGTCGCGCACTAGGAAGGCCAAAAGGGTCCGGCGGCGCGGCGCCATTTTGCAAGAGCCTGCGACCGAGTGGGAGTGGAGTGGAGCGGCAGTTGTTGCCGACTCTTTCCTCCTCCCAACGGTCCAGTCAGCGGGTTGATTAGGCCTTCGGCCATCAAGCCGAGACTTGTCTCATATTTAGTTCTGGAGAACGCCTGGCCGACATGAGTGATGTAGAGGAGAACAACTTCGAGGGCAGAGTGAGTACAAAGCCGCGGGAGCCGTCTTCGGCGGCGGCCCGATGCTCAGGGTTTCACGGGCACGAGCGCGGTCGGGCGGGGTTGTGGGGAGTCCTGCGGGAAACAACCTCGAGAGCTATCGCGGTTGCTTGCTTACATCCCAAGATGGCTTCTGAGTTTCACTCCTTCCCCAGATACTGCGGCTAACGCCTCCCCCTTTATTGGAGACAGATTGATACCTGGACTCCTGAGTCCTGTTTCCCACCGTCTTTGCTTCCTCCTTTTCCCTCACCACTTAGGCGTCCTTATCGCCGTTCCCAGGTGTGGGTCCCTGTCGCGGTGGGGCGGGAGGAGGCGGCAGGGAGTTTCCCTTAGGCCGAATAGTGGTTGGTGCTTCCTTCGGTGGCATTTTTGGCGACCCCGAGCATCGTAGAGGGTCTCGGGGTCGAAAGTGCGCGGGGCTGTTGTCCGGGCGGGTAGAAGCTGGCGTGGGACTAGCTGGGGCCTGTGTCTCCTTGGCTCTTTATTGCAGTGAGCGGCCGCGTCTCTGTTGGAACCGGCGGCGTTGCGTCTATAAAGGCGAAAGCCTTGAGGTTGAAGGTGGGACGAGCCTAATGAAGTGGTTAGTCAACGACCGCACCGACCCTTAAGCGTTCTTAAGACGAGAGCTGTGAGGGGAAAACTACGCAAGGAGCCCTTTTCCTTTAATGCCGCGTTTACTTTTCTTTCACTTCAAAATGAATATGGAAATGCTATAACGCCTTATTTTCCCAATTCCTTGATTTTGGGTTTTTTCTCTTTATATCTCAAGATTCTTTTCTTTCTGTGACCTTTTGTCTAAAAACTGACCACTCGTTTACAGGTTTATACGGTTAAAAAAAAAAAAAACCAGGGAGATCTTCTTTCTTATTTTAATCTTACATAACTGAATGAATTTCATGGGTCAGTTTTTTAAAAATAGCTCGTTAATTTATACTCTTATCTAACTCAAAATGTTACCTGAAAATTACAGACCCTCTCCATTTCTCTTCTCACTCCATCCCCCAGCAAATAGGGCTCAGAAGGTTTTCATTATTTTGGGTCGGATGAATATAAACATGACAAAGAATACAACGTTATTTCTAGTTTAAATGTACTAGAACATTTATCAATGCTTGAGTTATATTTTCGAAATTATCTTCGTAATCCTTGGTAGAAGGGAGTTAGTGCGGAACACTGACAAGAAAACAACATCCCCAGGCAACACGTTCCGGCTGTTGTGTTGGTATTTATTCTAGTCACTACGGGAAACACATAAAAGACAGCTGTAGGGAATGAGTTTTGTCTGGTTTAGAAACTCATATTTAAACACCTGTAGCAGACAATCAAATCAGAAGGTCGATTTAGGCTTTTGTTCTGTTTGAGGAAAGAGAGCTAAAGCAATAGGTTAGAAACAAAAAACAAAGACTCTTAATTCCTTTACGGTTGGATTTTTTTTTTTTTTTTTTAAGTAAAATTTGGGGCAGGGATATATATGAGTGGTTGAACCTGCTTATTTTTAAGGATGATGTATTGATTGTACCAACAAAACTTCTTTAAATCATGCAGTGAAAATATTTGGTTGTAAGCTTCTGATTGTTTTGAAAATGTTACATACATAGTAGTGGGAAGAAATTTTGCTGTTCGTCTTTCGTTCAATTAACTTTAATCTTAAAAACATTTTTTTTGTTGTTGTTGATGTTGTTTTGATTTAATTTGTGGGGAAGTGAAGAGAGCCACTGTTTGGTATCTTTTTTCTTTAACTTGTTGTCAAGCTGAGTAAGTTGCAGGTATTTTTGACCTTACCCACCTAAGAAAGTAATGTAAGATTCCCACCCAGTTTTAAGCTAAAATGTATGTAGGCATTAACAGCTTACTTTAATTTAAAAAAGAGGTATTTTTTTTTCCTCTTTTGGCCATTTATGGTCATAGAAAATATTTTTTCACAAGTAGTAGTACCCAAGTGTGTTTTAGTGTAAGTGAACTCAGTAGATTGAATAATTTAGGGCTCACTTGTTAAAAATTTTTTTTTTTTTCAAGGTTGAGGTAATTGTTTTTATTTATAGCTAGTTAAAGAATTGGAAGACCACCAGAAGCTTTTCTGCGGGTGTACTTTTTTAAAATTTTAATTGTTAAAGCAATTTAATATTCACTATCACTTCTGGTTTTTAAACCACAGTGACCACAGTGAGCTTTTATCTGCTAACCAAATCAGTAATTGAAAAAATTTTTGTATGATATGATGGCTGTCGTTATCTTTGTATCTTTTTTATTGTTATGCTTTAAGTGAAAGTTTACAATTCAAGTTAGTCTCTCATACAGAAGTTTATACATACATTGTTTTGTGACCCTAGTTGCTCTCCCTGTACTGTGACAGCACACTCTTCCTTTCCACCCCAAATTTCCCATGTCCATTCAACCAGTCCTGACCCTCTCTGCTTTCTCATGTCGCCTCTGGACATGAGCTGCCCGTTTAGTCTCGTGTATCTACTTGAGCTAAGAAGCACACTTTTCATGAGTATCATTTTATGTCCCATAGTCCAGTCTAATCTTTGTCTGAAGAATTGGCCTCGGGAATGGTTTCAGCTCTGGGCCAACAGAAAGTCCAGGGGCCATGTCTTCCGGGGTCCCTGCAGTCTCAGTTAAACCATTAAGTCTGGTCTTTTTACTAGAATTTGAGTTCTGCACCCCACTCTTCTCCTGCTCCATCTGGGACTCTCTGTTGTGTTCCCTGTCAAAGGGGGTCATTGGTGGTAGTCGGGCACCATCTAGTTTAGTTCTTCAGGCTGACTTCAGGCCGATGAAGTCTCTGGTTTATGTGGCCCTTTCTGTCTCTTGGGCTAATACTTCCTTGTGTCTTTTGTGTTCTTCATTCTCTTTTACTCCAGGTGGGTTGGGACCAATTACTACATCTTAGATGGCCACTCACTAGCTTTTAAGAACCCAGACTCCACTGAAAAAAGTTGGATGCAGAACATTTTCTTGAAAAACTTCGTTATGCCAGTTGACCTAGATGTCCCTTGAATGTGTCTGCTTTAAATGTAACGATTTAGGGTCAAAAAAGAATCTTCAAATGATGTGTGTTGAGGTGTTTAAGTAGTTGCTATACTTCAAACTTTGACTAAATCAAATTAGGGAAAGCATTGACAGGTTGGAATTCAAAGTTATCAGGAGCATTTGTGGAGATTGTTTTAAATCTAGTTTTTGGATTAAATACATGTTTTCCTTTGTGTAAGAATTTTGTTAGTGAGAAGAATGCTTCTAATCCTTGAAAGTGAGATTTCATGTGCTTTATTTACAGAATAAATATTAACTCGATTTTACTAAAAAGATACTTAGATGGTAACTTTCTAGAGGCCATGAAACATATTAAAGACACAGGACTAATACTAATAGTTTTATAGCATTTTAGAATCTACTCCCCCAAAAATCTTTGAGGTATTTTCTAATTTATTGCTCACAATTTTGCAAGGGCTGGAGTACTATTGCTGTTTTAGAGATTAAACACTGAGGCCCAGAAGACCATGCAGTCAAGAATCTGAGATACACAGGTCCCAGTCCACTTCTCAGTTCATAAATATACAATACTGTGTATGTGTTGGTTTTTTGTTTTGTTGTTTTTGAAGAGCACACCGTACTTCAGTGCCTTGCAGTCATTAATGGAGTTTGCTAAAAGCAGTTGCTGAAGCTTAATTTTCCGTTATAGGTTAATGACTCTTCCATTTTAAAGAACTGGAATGAAGGAACTTAAGGAAAGAAGATGTAATTGGCTAATTCTGTTATAATTGATCCTAACTGGTAAACCAACCAAAATTCCCTTCTGCCTGAGGTGAAGCTCATTGAACATCTGTTGCTTTTTTTAGTAAGGGCTAGGTGTTCTTAAGGGCAAGAGAACTTGCAGTCTCATTTGAGATGACTGACAACTGAAATCTGGGTAAAAGTAAGTATCTAATCAAATGCTAAACTGTGTGGTAGAATTAACAAAGAATTCAGAAAATGGAGCTGAGCAGTTTTGTGAAATAGGGGAAAGGAAAGCTTTACCTATGATGTGAAGCTTATACTGGATCTTATCAATAGGGAAGTGGATATTAATTTTACCAGTGTGACAATGAGGAGTTAGTGCTGGAATAGTGAGAGATAGAGTTGACTAAATATAGTCAGATAATGGAGGGCTTTGAATCCTAGATTTAGGTATTTGAACTTTTAGTATAATGTGCAGTAGGGAGCCATCTATGGATTCTTCATTATGGGAGTGACATAATGAAAAACTAGAGACTGGTACATGAAGAGCAGCAGGGAGCACTTGAAATATTTAAGGAAGGAAACTATGAAAAATATGGTCTACACAGGGCAGCACTGGCATATAAAGAATGAAACATTTTTCAAAGGATCCTGGAGAATGGTGTTAACCATATCATATGTATCGTTAACAGAAACATTTAAGTGGAAATGTCCATCGGAACTCTGGGCCTGAAACCAACACTTGAGCTGTGGTTTTGCATGTCATCTTCATAAAAGTAATGAGTTTGCTTTATACAGCTTCAACTAAAATTAGGCTTTTGATCTCAAAACATTTTCGTGCCCTTTACAGAAGTTAGGGAAAATGGAAATTAAGCTTTTATCATTTTACCTATTCTCCTTTTACCCTTAAATTTTTTTAACTAAACTTAGAAAAATGTTAAGTCCATTTTTTTCCCCCTTAGTACAGCAGTCTGGTGTTTTGGATATAGGTTAATGATTTGTTTAAATCTATCTCAAATTATTTATATTATGCTTTGTAGTACAGTTGAAAAGGAAAGGTAACTGCCTAATTCTTACCTCCTTTTCAGGGCTGGTTCTGACTTCTTGAGTAGCTGGAATGTTTTTAGGATGTTCCCAAAGTTTTCCTTCTAAAAATATGAGATGATTGACTGGATGATAAAAGTGAAGGGCAAAACATAAATTCATCTGTATTAAAATACCAGTTTGAAATTAAATGTTGCCTGTTAAGATATTTTGTTAGA